GTGCTGAGCAGCCCGGTAGCTGGCATCTGCAGCACCCACCAGTGCCACCCAACACACTTGGCTTAATTTGCCATTGACATCCTTCCGCTCCCCGGAGCCAGGCCCTGGATCACACCAGCTGGAGCACCAGGAAATGCTGCAAATGGGCCATTCTCTTCCACAGCCTCCCCATCCAGCATATCAATCAGCTGATGCTGCACCAAAGGACACCTCTCCCCCTCCAAACACCCTCAAGAGGATGTTTCAGTAAGATCCTCAGCTGGTTGCTGCTTGTCTGGGCTTTTGTTGTCTGGAAAGGGGGGGGTTGTGTAGTGGGGTGAAGGTGCAGGGTTTGTATGTGGCTCCTGAGCAGCATGAACCCTCTTCTTTTTCATAATATCGTGGAACAGTTTGGGTTAGAAGGGACCTTAAAAATATCATCTAGATCCAACCCCCTGCATGGGCAGGGACACCTCCCACCAGCCCAGGCTGCTCCAAGCCCCATCCAACCTGCCCTTCAACACTGCCAGGGATGGGGCAGCCACAGCTTCCCTGGGCAACCTGGGCCAGGCTCTCACCACCCTCACACTCCACAATTTCCTCCTCATGTCTCACCTCAATCTCCCTCTTCCAGTTTTAATCCATTCCCCCTTGTCCTCTCCCTCCCTGCCCTTGTCCCAAGCCCCTCCCTAGCTTTCCTGGAGCCCCTTCAGGCACTGGAAGCTGCTCTAAGGTCTCCCTGGAGCCTTCCCTTCTCCAGGCTGAACACCCCAACTCTTGCAGCCTGATGGATCACCTTTAAAATCAGGTCTCTTGGTGCTGTGCCCAGCCTGGCCTTCAACCCTCACAGGAAAAAAGCTGAAAGGAAATGGCTTGTTTATCCATTGGAACAAGAAAGCTGGAAGTGACCTGGAGGATCCTGCTGTTGTCAAGCACAACATAAAAAGCAGGCTTGTTCTACCCTATCAAAATCAAAAGGAGAATTCCAGCCCAATGCATCCACACAGCAGCAACCCAGTTTGTAACTGGCAAAGGAAAACAAGGCTCCAAATAACAAGCTGGAGGAAAAAAAAATTACTCTGAAGCAAGATCACATTATTTTAAAAACAGTCACTGGTTTCAAGGTTATGTTCTAGCACAAAAAAACTCATTAAATCTTCAGATAAATTTTCTTCATGGAACTGAAGGAATGATTTGGTTTTGTGGCAGTTTTTTCCATCTAAGCTTCTTGTGCACTCTTCAGTGCAAGTATTAACTCCTCTGTCACTTGTTCCCACTGTGCAATAAAAAAATATTCCATTGTCAAGAGATAATTATTACTGGTGAAAAAATTTGACCCAGCTCTTCTTTCCAAAGCAACAAAAGCTTTTTCCATCTTAAAAAAAGAGTAGGGAGGCTCCACCAGAAGAGCATCTGTACTGAAGGCTGAGATTCTCAGGCAGGAGGAGGGGGAGGAAGATGCCTCCAGGGAACACAGCATCCTCCAAATAAACCAGCACCAAACAAGAGCAGGTAGATTGATCGGAGCAAGCACAGAACATGGAAAACACCCTCCTGTGAGCAGAGGAAAGCAGAGGTGTGGGGTGCAGGTGGTGGTTTCCTGGGAGAGATGCACACACTCACCTTGGAGCCAGGAGGGGCAGTCAAGCCTAGGAAGGCGTAAACCGCGTTGTTCTCTCGGGCTTCGAAGAAAGCTTCGTAGTCCTGCACCAGGGGAGCCAGGCAGGGGGAGGAAACAAAAGACAGAAGGATGACATGTCAGAGATGATTGCAGCTCAGCTTGGTGTGTCACCCAAGCTGCAGCCAGCAGGCTGCTTCCCGTGGGCACACGTGGGGTGGGGAGCATCGCTGAGCGTCGACACCGCGGCAACCGCGCTGCCTGGGAAGGGGAATTTCAGTCTCTGTGGCAACAAGGTGCTGCTGTGAGGTGCTTCCACCTCTCCCAGGGGGACAGCCCTCGTACCAAGGCAGTTGTCACTTGTCTGGCATGCACGTTGCCCCTGCAGGAGCAGTCTGAGCCTGCACCTTGTCATCAGAAACACTGATGCTAATTACTGACTCGTAATGGCGGCTGCGCAACCACCGACGCAAGCTCTTCAACATGTCAAAAGTTACATTTAAACGTGCAAAATGAGAGCACATCTTTTCCCATCATGTTTCCCATTAATGAACAGCCTACACAAGTGAAGGAAATCAGGGGGGACTGCTCACTGTACTCACAGTGCACTGTGGTTGCTCTGAATAAGCACACAGCCACTTCCCGGGAAAAACAAAGATAAACCCAATCAAATAATAAAAGAAATACCAATGCTTCCTTCTCTGCCCTTTTTGTATTTGAGGCAGAATGCAGTGCTGTCCAGAGCACAAACAACACAGCTTAGCTGTCTGCTAAGTCAGGAAGAGCAAGCAAAAAGCCCACAGCAGTGGCCAAACAAACCCAGGAGGTTTGGGCAAGCCCCCCGTTGTCCCAGTTACCACATTTTTTCCTCACTCTGATTTCCAAACTCAGCACATATCTGTCCTGTGACTTTCCCTCTCTCCCTTTTTAACTGAAGCAAGAGCAGGAGCTTCCTCCCAGCTTGGCTGGGGAATGTTTGGAGGCAGAAGCCCTGGCTGAGGAAGGCCAGGCAAAGCAGCAGAGCTCAGAGCAGGCTGGGGCTCAGCTGAAGGCAGGGACAGAGCAGCCATTAAGGGCAGGCTGCTTCCTGTGGTGCTTTGGTTGGCAAAAGCCAAAGAAACAACAAATGATGTTTGAAAATAACCCCGTGTCCAGAGCAGGGGCAGTTCTCAGAGAGCCTGTTGCAGCTGGGACAGAAGGAAGTACAGGGAACAGAGCACTCCAACAGCCTAGAGATCAAGGATGTCAAATTATTGTTCACGTAGCATTCGAGTGCTAGTCTGATAAAATGTGTGTGATGATGTGAAATCCTCCCTGAAGCCCTTCTGTTGACAGCACTGGGGCTGCTTGATAACAAAGGGGTTGTTTATCTTGCTGGTGCATAGTCCAGCAGGCTGCTTTGTAGCACCTACCAGGAAAGGAATGCCTGGGACCAAGGAGCAGGGGTCAGGGCAGATTCCCAGCAGCTGCAGTTCCAGCCCTTCTCCTGTGCACAGCCCAATAAAAGCCACTTGGCTTATTCCTCTGCCAGTTACTGCTGCAGCAGGTGAAACACACAGGGAAGTTCATGCTTCAGATGGATCAGATAAAGACATAAAAGGGACTCAAGCGTGTGGGAATGGAATTAACCTTTACCTTCCCAGAAGCTGACCTTTAGAAACTTGAATCATAGAATCATGGAATGGTGAAGGTTGGAAGGGACCTTAAAGATTATCAGGTTCCAACCCCCCTGCATGGGCAGGGACACCTCCCACCAGCCCAGGCTGCTCCAAGCCCCATCCAACCTGCCCTTCAACACTGCCAGGGATGGGGCAGCCACAGCTTCCCTGGGCAACCTGGGCCAGGCTCTCATCACCCTCACAACAAAGAATTTCCTCCTCATGTCTCACCTCAATCTCCCTCTCCCAGTTTAAAACCATCAACCCTTGTCCTGTCACTACAAGTCCTTGTCCCAAGCCCCTCCCCAGCTTTCCTGGAGCCCCTTCAGGCACTGGAAGCTGCTCTAAAGTCTCCCTGGAGCCTTCTCTTCTCCAGGCTGAACACCCCAACTCTCCCAGCCTGGCTCCAGAGCAGAGCTGCTCCAGCCCTTGGGATCATCTTCATGGCCCTTCTCTGGACCTTCTCCAACAGCTCCTCTTCTCCAGTTACACCAATTGGCCAAACTTCAAAGTGACATCAACCCAAAACAGGGGGATGAAATAAACCCTTAGCAAGAACTGCTCTGAAGCACCCACAGCCCTCTCCTCAAAATCCAGGTATGCAGAACTGCCGTGGTCTGCAGCTGGGGACACATGAGAAGCATCTCTTGGTGCCTACAGCTTCTCCTCTTCCTGTCCCACTGCTCTGCTGCAGCAGTGAGCCTCTTAGATCCCTAAAACTCTGGTCCACCAAGGGAGAAAGGTGATAATGTTGCAACTCGACATCCTACTGGGACAGAAATATTTACCTCTTTTTTTGTTTGTTTGGTTTTAAAAAGAAATAACTGAACAGAGACTTTAAGCTCCTTGTAACTGGCCTCCAGACAACTATTGATCATTCCATTTGTCACTCCAAAGCAACCTTTTTCCAGGTCACAGCCACACTCAGTAAAATTCTGAGAGCCACTAACTCACTGTGGATATTGTTTCAAGTTCTGCTTGTATTACAAGCAAGATTTAAAAAAAACTAATCCTGGCACATTGAGAATCATTTCTTTCCGTAGCCACAGAATCACCTCACAAAGGTCCAGAACTGGCAGGTTCTGACTTACAGACTCTGCAGGTCAGGACCAGATTGCAAAATGACTTAGAAACCAAGACAGGGCACCAGAGGAATGCACACTGTGAGCTCTTTTCAGAAGATATTAAGTTTTAAAAATAAAATTAACAGTTAATCTAATAATCATTCAAGCATGGTCTGCCAAGTGGAAGTGCTGCAGGGGAACTTACTTTTGATCAAGCATTAAAATAATTCCAAGTAGGAACTGTATTTGCAAGAGCAGTTCTAATCTGTTCAAGGCACTGGAGTAAGTGGAGCACAGCAGACCCCATTTTGCAAGCAGTGCACCAAAAATGTGCCCAAGCAGGAGGAGAAAACTGATTTATAGTCGTGGCAGACATCTCTGCACTTCTTTTGGAAGCTGAACAGACTACAGAATGGTCTGGGATCACACACATGTTGGCAAACATTGACAGAACAGGTCTCTGAACCTGGTACAGAGCAGGAGGTTGATGCAGGAGTGTCAGATTTCTGTGAAGCCTCAGTTCACAATCATGGTGAACATGGGAATTAAAGAAAAATCCTGTCCACTTTCAGAGCCCTAAAAGGGGAAAAAAATAAAATAAAATAAATCTGAACCGGTTACAGAGCAGGAGGCTGATGCAGGAGTGTCAGATTTCTGTGAAGCCTCAGTTCACAATCATGGTGAACATGGGAATTAAAGAAAAATCCTGTCCACTTTCAGAGCCCTAAAAGGGGAAAAAAATAAAATAAAATAAATATATATATATATATATATACACTGCCAGGTGGTGGTAGGGTCATTCCAATAAGTAGCAGAAGGATGTGAGAATCACAGAATGTGTGGGGCTGGAAGGGACCTTTGAAGGTCACCCAGCCCAGCCCCCCTGCAGTCACAGGGACCATTTTAACCAGACCAGGTTGCTCAGAGCCTGGTCAAGCCTGACCTTGACTGTCTCCAGGGATGGGGCCTCCAGCCA